TGAGGCCACATGGGGCTACATTTTTTTTTAAAAAAAGCTTAAATAAATGAACACATGGGGTTGAAGACATAGCCAAGTGCTTTTCCAGTATGTACTAGTCTCTGGCTTCAATTCTCAAAACCATCAATCGATCAATCAATCAATCAATCAATAAAGCAAGCCAGATGGTGTGATGCCTGCCTATAATCTTAGCACTCTGGGAGGCTGAGGCAGGAGGATCACAAGTTCAAGTCTTAGGTGGGCAAATTAACAAGACTCTGTCTTAAAAAATAAAAATGGCTGGGGATGAGACTCAGTGTAAGCACCCTAGGTTCAATCCCCAGTATCACAAAACAAAGAGAAAGAAAATTGAGATGATAATCACATACTTCCTCAATACAAATCATTGCTTAAATATTTTTACCTGTGAATACCTCAATTTTTGAGGTAAACTAAATAATTTTCTTATTAAACAAAGTCTTTGTAAATAGGGAAGGGTGGAGGGGGCGAAGGGAGGGCAAGGGAAGGGGGAAAAATAAGAACTAAAATACATCATGTAAATGTACAAGATCCCAATGATGAATGTAACTGTATTTTATACCTAAAATGTACCAATAAGCTTAATGGAAAAAAATAATAATTTCATTATTAAGTAGCCTGTTCCAGAAAATAGAAAAGATAACATTTCTAAACTTGTTTGCAGTACTGGGGATTGAACCTAGGGCTTTGTGCATGCTAGGTAAGTACTGTAGTCTGAGCTACAGTCCTAGTCCTTTAATTTTTTTTTAATTAAAAAAAAATTTGGGTACCGGGATCAAACTCAGGACCTTGGCACTTGGGCGCCACTGAGCTAAATCACCGGCCCTGCTAGCCTTATTTTAAAACAGGGTCTCACTGAATTGCCCAGGCTGAGCTTGAATTTATAATCCTCCTGTCTCAGCCTCCAGAGTAGCAAGCACCACTGCACCTCGCTTCTAGACTTTCTTACACTAGTAAAACTATTTATAGGTGGGCATGGTGGTACTTGGCTGCAGTCCTAGCAACTTGAGAGGCTGAGACAGGAGGATCACCAGTTTGAGGCCAGAGGAGACAAATGCAATAGCAAGACTCTGTCTCAATTTTTTTTAATTAATCTAAACATCTTTCATTTTAAAATCTTTTGAGGGGGCAAGGAGAAGGTGTGTAGCTCCGTGGCAGTAAGTTTGTTAGCATGTGCAAGGTCCTGTGTTTGATCTCCAGCACAACAAAACAAAACAAAGCAAAACTCAAAACTTTATTAATCTGTGAGGCTATAATGATACTCAGAAAGGACAAAGGATGAGGAAGCCTTGTTCCAGTAAAGGGTAGTGAATACAGGAATGAGGATCAATGGGAATTTGCAACCCTCAATGTGGTAATTGATTCAGACACCAACGACGTTGGAGACTCAGATCTTCCATTGAGGACAAGATGGTCACAAGGTGTTGACGAGTCACCCACAGCAGTTACAGATTCCAACGAGGGCACTCCAGTATCCACTATGGAATCTGGTGGTGACTGCTTTAACAGCATAAAGCATTTTGAATATATGAGAATCTGAGTTTTCCAACTCCTGATCCAAGGTGAAGCTCTGTATCCCGTGTGTGACCTGTTCCTCCCAACAGTATTAAACTGGGCTTCTCCTCTTAATTTCTAGTTTATGGGAAATATAGAAAATTAGCCAGCCCGGCATAGTGGTGCACACCTGTAATCCCAGCACTTGGGAGGCTGAGGCAGGAGGAGTGCTGAGTTCGTGAGACCAGCCTGAGCGACATTGTGAGTTCAAGGCCAGCCTGAACTACATAGTAAAACCCTATCTTAAAAAAAAAGAAAAAGAAAAATAGCCAAAGGACTCCATGAAGAAATAGACAGTCCAGATTGGCACAAGAAAAAAACCGAACTTTCTCTTCAAAAGGTCAATATTAAAAAAAGTCAATATCATTTTTTAAAAAATATTTTTGATTAAAAGTAAATAAAATAGAATCCCTGAAATTCAGTTGGACAGAGAATTTTTTTTCTCACTGTGTTCTGGGAGGCCTTGAACTCACTGGTAGCCCAGGCTGGCCTGGGAGGCTGAGGCAAGAGGGTCACCTTGAATTCCAGGCTGATATTGAGTCTGTGATAGCCAACCCCACTCCATGTTGGGCCTCAATGTCATTTTGTACCTGTGCTGGAACAAAGTGCTTGCACATGAACAAAGCACCCAAAACCCCCACATCCTGCTTGGCAGTAAACTTGCTACAGTTTCAGGATATTTTGTAGCTCACCTGGTGTGTGTGAAACTTCCTTGTACCCCCCACTAACCTGGAATGATTCTGTTTCTGTAAGATTTCGCTTGCTCTCCCCTGAGCCCTCCCCAACTGAAAGCCTGATTTAAAAGAAATCAAGGGCGGGGGATTTAGCTCAGTGGTTCCACCACCTGCCTCGCAAGCAGAAGGTCCCGAGTTTGATGCCTGGTACCAATAAATAAATAAATAAATAAAAGAAGAAATCAAAGTGCTTCCCATTGCCGAGGAACCTTTCTAGGGCGCTAGCCCTCCTCAGCCGCCAGCTATAATAAATGGGCATGAATCTAGCAGTGTGGCGCATCTCTGTTGTCCGAACTCACTCGTACCAGTTCAGAACTGGTTTGAATTGCATAACAAAATCCTGTCTCAAATAAGTAGATAATAACGAATCCAGCTGGGGTCATAGCTCAGTGGCAGAGCACCTGTGTGTTTAGTATTGGTTGTATTGTTTTCAATCTGTGTGTGTGTGTGGTGCTGTGGATGGAACACAGCCTTCACACTGAGCTACATCCTGGCACCAACCTCCCTTGTTTATAGATTTTGAGATGGTGTTGTACTAAGTCACTAAGTTGCCCAGGCTGTGCTTGCAATCCTCCTGCCTCAGCCTCCCAGAGTGTAGGGATTACAAACATGCACCACCCCACTCAGGTTCGATTCTTCTGGTTTAATATTCTCAGAAAGAAATGCAAGAGAGCTGTCAAGTGGAGACAAGTAGATTCCCATGAACACCTCAAAGTGGGCCTTCTAGGCAGTGTGGTCCTGAAAGTGATCAGCTTATTTAAGGTGCCCTAGTACATTCATAAAAATAGCCAGGCGTGGAGGAGCATGCCTGTAATGCCAGCGCTCAGGAGGCTGAGGCAGGAGGATTGCTTCGAGTTGTAGATTATACAGTGAGTTCAGGGCTAGCCTGGACTATATAGTGAGATCCTGTTTCAAACCAAATAAATAAAAATAAGGAGCTGGGGACATCAGTCAATGGTAGTCACAGGCTCAGCGTGTGCGGGGATCTGGGTTCCACCCCCAGTAATATTGGGAAGAAGCTGGCTATGGTGCCTCTCCTATAATCCCAGCACGGTGGAGGATCACATGTCAAGGCCAGCCTGGGCTACACAGTGAAATCAGAAGCCTGGGCTACAGATCTAAACCAGCAGAAAAAATTTAAAAATGAAATAAAGTAACTGGGATGCAGTTCTGTGGTAGAACACTAGCCCTCGCATACAAGAGACCCTGGGTTCGACCCACAGAGCAAGGGGAAAAAGAAAAAAAAAAGTGGGAAAGACCTGATGGATGCCTCACCTAGATATGGATGGCAGATAAGCATATGAAAATTGCTCCCATGTATGTCATTAGAAAACTGCAACTAAAACAATGACATGGGTACGAGAATGGCTCACATCACAAACACTGGCAGCAACAAATGCAGACCAGGATGTGGAGCTGAAGGAACCTTTTTTTGTGGTGTCTGGGATCAAACCTGGGGCCTGGCACTGTTAGGCAAGTGCTCTGCTGCTGAGCCACACCCCAAGCCCCTGGAGTCACTTTGCCAGACAATTTGACTGATTCCTGACAAAGATAAATGTACTTCCATCGTGTAATCCAGCAACCTGTGCTCTTGGCATTCACTCAAGTGAAGTTTATATGCCCCCCCGCCATAAAAAACAGGCACATGGATCTTTATAGCAGTTTTTGCTTTTTTTTTTTTTATTAATTTTGCGTTTTTTTGTTTTGTTTTTTTTTGAGACAGGGTCTCATTACATAGCCCAGGCTGGCCTTGAACTCGTGGCTATCCTCCTGCCTCGGCCTCCCAACTTTAAAGTTTTATTCATAATTCCCAAAATACGGAAGCAACCAAAGTGTCCTTCAGTAGTAAGTGAATATATAAACTGGAACATCCTTACAATGCAATATTATTCAGAACTAAAAATAATTGCTTTATGGAAAGGCAAAGAAACTTTACCAAGTGTGGAGGTGCACACCTGTAACCCCAGCACTCAGGAGGCAGAGGTTGAGGGATCAAAAGTTCAAGGCTACTCTGGACTCAGTCTTAACAACAAAAACAAAATCTTAAATGAATATTGTTGGGTACAAGCTGTTGAAAAGCCCCATGTTGTATGATTCTAATATTTGGCATCATCAAAAAACAAAGCCATGGAGATGGTCAGAGCTATGCTTCCCCTATTCTTCCCAGTGAATGAGGGGAGTAGACAAAGAATCAGGGAGTTTTAGGGCAATGAAACTCTTTTGTATGATACTATGTTGGGTGCACGTCGTCAAACATTTGTCAAAATCCACAGAATGGCTGGGCTTGTGGTGATCGCCTGTAATCCTAGCTACTTGGGAGGCTGCAGCAAGAGGATCACAGGTTCAAAGGCAGTCTAGTCTTAGCTACTCAATGAGATGCTGTCTCAAAAAATAATAATTTAAAAAGGGCCTACACACGCAGTAGGGTGGCCCTGGGCTTAGTCCCTCATACTGTAAACAACACACTAAGAATGAAACCTGATGTGAACCACACGCTTTTCTGCTCAACTTTTCCGTACATCTACACTGCTTTAAAATCTACTAATTACAGTGATGTTGAACATTTTTTCATATATTTATTTGCTGTTTTTATTTCTTTGTCTGAGAAATGTCTGTTCATTTCGGATGCCCATTTTTGAATTGGGTCTTTGAATTTGGGGGGGGTCTGTTTTTGAAGTTCCTTATATATTCTAGATAGTAGACCTTTGTCTGAGGTACAGCTGCTAAGAATTTCTTCTAGATGAAAACAACACTGAGATTCCACCTCATCCCAGAAAGAATGGCTGCTATCAAGAAATCAACCGATAACAAATGCTGGCGGGGTGTGGAGAGAAAGGAACCCTTCTCCATTGTTTCTGGGAGTGCAGACTGGTGCAACCACTGTGGAAATCCGTATGGAGATACCTCAAAGAACTAGGACTAGAGGTCCCATTTGACCCAGCTATTCCCCTACTGGGTATCTTCCCCAAAGAGTTAAAAGAATCATACCACAGCAATATATGTGCACCTATGTTTATAGCTGCACAATTTGTAATAGCTAAGGTTTGGAAATAACCCAAGTGCCCCTCAATTGGAAACTGGATAAAGATGTGGGGTTTTTTTATAAAATGGAGTACTACTCAGCCATAAAGAATGAGAAACTACAGTCATTTATAGCTAAATGGATGCATATTGAGGCCATACTCTTAAGTGAAATAAATAGGACACACATGTGTAAATATCAAATAGTATCTCTAGTGTGAGAAACTGAAAGTGTAAATAAGGATGAAAATGATTAAAATGAATAATTGATAATTTGAAATACGAAAAGGTCCAAAGGTGGAGGGGTGGCGGGAGGGGAAGGGGAAAGGGAAGAAAGGAAAGGAAAAATTATGAGAAAGAAAAAAAAAAAGAAATGGAAACAAAGTCTATGTAAATAGGGAAGGCTGGCGGGGGTGAAGGGCACATAGGTAATGGGGAAAAAAATAAGAACCAAGATACATCATGTTCAGGTACAAACACCCAATGATAAATGTAAATGAATTGCATGTAAAATGTACCAATAAAATGTACCAATAAAATTTTTTTAAAAATCTACTAATTACAAACCAGAGCCAGGCATGGTGGCACAAGCCTGAAATCCCAGCACTAGAGAGGCTGAGGCAAGAGGATCACTGCAAGTTTGAGGCCAGCTCCGGCTACATAGTGAGTTCATGACTACCCAGAACTACGTAGTGAGACCCTGTCTCAAAGAAAGAAAAAAATATACATATATATATTAATTACAACAAAACCAAAGCAAATTGCTTCTATATGGGTAAGTACTTAATAAGTCTGATGCTGGACACAAGGACAGATTCACACAGCGCAGTTGTCTAGAAGGCTCTGATTACCTTTGGGCTCTACCATGGACCCTGTAGAGACGAAGAGACATGAGTATGCGTATGCTTATGTTCTGTTTTGGACAAGAATGGGAAGGCAGAACACTTTTCTTTGCCTGCCTGCTTCTTCTCTGTTGCCTTCAGATCGGAGTGATACTTTAGCACTGATTAAGGAGGCATGTTTTGGGGTGATGTATTCTGGTCTCCTACAAGATGTTTCATTTTCTCTTCCATAATTAATTTTGTCATTATCTTCTTATTCCTATGAGACAAATAAAAATAAATGTAAAAAACTACTAGAACGTGATAAGCCATTCCACACCAAATCCTTTGAAAATCACATAAAATGAGGAGTCTATTTCCGAGTTCTTAAGCAGCTTTTCAACACCTACGGTTTGAATAAAAAGGAATTCATAGTAAACAAAGGAACACGACTGCACATTTATTCTCAGGCCTCAATCCCAGCACTCTGGCAAACTAAGGCAGGAGGATCACAAGTTTCAGGCAGGCCTAGGGCAACTTACACTCAGCAAGATCCTCTCTCAAAAATACAAAATACAATCGAGAGGCTGAGGCAGGAGGGTCACCATTTGTTCAAGGCCAGCCTGGGCTACACAACAAAACCTTGTCTCAAAAAAAAAAGTATATACATATATACATATATACATATATATATGTATATATGTATATGCATATATGTGTGTGTGTGTATATATATATATATATATATTGAAAAAAATGTAGAAAGGGATGGACATGCTCAGCACCAAGGCCGTGTTCAATCCCCAATACAACAAAATGAAATACAGGGGTGGGGGGACAGATTCAGAGAGGGAGAAGGGAAAGGCGAGTCCCTTAAAAACTGCCTCAGGGCTGGGGATTTAGGTCAGTGGTTCTGGCGCCTGCCGTGCAAGCACCAAGTCCTGAGTTCGATCCCCAGTACCAAAAAAGGAACAACAACAAAAAAGAACTGCCTCAGCACACTGCTGTTGCCTCCTTCCTGGCCCAACAAGTGCAATTATCCAAAAGCCCTGTTTGTAAGGTCTCCACATGCTCAATTCCAACCTAACTACAGTCATACTTTTACTTCTATTGTCCCTTGCTGCCTACGCTCAAAGGCCACCAGTAGCCAGGCCTAGTGGCACACGCCTGTAATCACAGCACTTGGGGAGGCTGACACAGGAGGATCTCGATCTCAGGTTCAAGGCCAGCCTCGGCTACATAATGAGACCCTGTCTCAAGCAACAATGACAAAGGCACACAGGACAAGCTACAAGAGCTGTCCTGTCAGTCTCAACAGCATGGTCACCATCGGGCCAGACTGGTCCCCAGGAAGCTCTCTGGCCTCAGTGCTCACCATGGCAACCATCCACGCCCACCGCTTTCCTTGGTTGCTGAGCTCCCAGCCTCTGCGGTTCCTGTCTGCATTGCCACTTTCCACGGAAAAGCTGATTCTCAGTAGGGTTCTTCAGTATCAGTTCTTCACTCTTACCCACAATTTATATGCTAACGAGCCTCAGAGGTGCTCATCTCTGATCCAGGCTTTGCTCAGGATTCTAAACTCTCCCGGATGTCATGTTCTCCACTCACCCTTTCTCTACTTTGACAATACTGCATCCTTTATATGTGCATCTCCTAAGACTTGCCTCATTCCTCTAATTTTCTTCTTTTGCTTCCCTATTGTCTGTGTAAAACTGAAAACTGCTTTGTGCACAAGGGCAGTGTATGGTGTAAGTTCTCTTGGGAGCTATGTTGTCATTATTATATTCCCTAAGTGACAGACAGGAAAACAATGCCCTTTATATAAGCACAGACCCTTCCCTGTTCTGCTTCCCCCTCCCAGCACTCATTTGTCAATGCAAATATCAAGCATATTCACCTGTCTATGGTTTCTTTTTTCCTACTATCTTTTTTTTTTTTGCAGTACCAGGGATCAAACTCAGAAGACCTTACGCTTTGAAGGCAGGCGTGGCATCACTGAGCTAAATTTCCAGCCCCTTTTGGATTTTTCTTTTTTTTTTTTTTGAGGCAAGGTCTCACCTCCTAGTTCAGTGTGGCCTAGAACTCAAGACAATCCTCCTGCCTCAGCCTCCTGAGTGCTGGGGTTACAGGAGTTAAGTGTGCCCCCACAGCTGGCTGATTAGACATCTTTGCTGTGTGACCTGATGAGGAAGAGCTGAGGCATTACCTTTGCACACATTCAGGGCACAACATGTTATCTTCTGTTCCTGGGGATGGGAAGATACAGGCTGGTAACAAGAAAAGGGAGATCATCCTCCTGGGAGTGCTGGGGACCCAGGCGTGGCCCCCGCAGAACTGCAGACGCACCCAGCCCGCCATATTTGCAGAGAGAAGCTGGCCGTGGACCACGCACCACCTGCAACCTGGGGAGGGGACAGAGAAGCAGAGGTGAGCAGTGGGATTGAGGTGGCTCTCAGCAGCCCTGACAGACATTTTCAAGTTCACTCTGATATTCTAGTAACTAATCAATGGAAGAAGATGCATGGAAAATGTGGACTAAAAGATACTGTGGCGGGGTGTGGTGGTGCAGCTATGACCCCAGTGCTTGAGAGGCTGAGGCAGGAGGATCACCAAGAGTTCAAGGCCAGCCTGAGCTACACCACAAACAAACAAAAAACAATCCCAACACCAGAGAAGAAGAAAAAACGGTTAGATTTGGGATCTGTGTCCTGAGAAATATTTTTTTTTGTTTTTGTAGTGCTGGGGCTGACATCCTAGAGCATGGACTGAGCTATACCCCAGCTAGGTAACCTACCATCCCCACCCCCTTCAGTTCTGGTGATTGAATCCAGAATCTTTGCAATGAGCTATATCATCAGCCCCCCTTTTTATTATTATTTATTTTGAGAAAGAGTTTCACTTGAGTCACTAAGTTGACCAGACTGGACATGAACTTTCAATGCATCTGGGTCAGCCTCCCAGAGTGCTGGGATTACAGGCTTAAACCACCACCCCTTGGATGTATTTTTGTAGACCAGGAAACTGGGGATTGAGGCAAGTAACTTGGCAATGCCACACATCTACAATACCTTAAGAAAGCAAGAGGGGAAAGACCTCAGCCTCTTGAGTGCTGGGATTACAGGCGTATGCACCACACTCCACTACATGATTAGGTTATGCTGTCTTCCCAGCTTAGCAGTCTGTTTAGAGATGAGAAAGGGTTCACAACTTAAGCTGCTGGCTGAAGGATCTATCCCAAAAAAACTTGGCTACTTAAGCAGGGCATGGCAGTTTATGCCTGTAATCCCAGTACTTGGAAGGCTAAGGCAGGAAGATCTCTGTGAATTCGTGGCCAGCCTGAACCACATAGTGAGACCCTGTCTCAGAAAATCGAAACTTGGGCCAGAGATTTAGCTCAGTGGTGCTGTGGCTGCCTTGCAAGTGCAAAGTCCTGAGTTTGATCCCCAGTACTGGAAAAAAAAGAAAAAAGAAAGACAATCAAAACTTGGCTATTCATCAACCAAGGAAGAAATAAGCCCTATGTGAATCCAACTTCTGATCTATGGATATTTTAACTAACTCCTCTGCTTTTACCACCTTGCACTCTTGTAGTAATAAACAGTAGCCTCATTTCTCTGAAATAGGACTCTCACCTGAAGGCTCATCTTACCAGAGGCTTGCTGCAAGAAGGCCTCCACGGAACTAGGAATGGGACAGGAAGTCACAGCTTTGGGCTGACCGGCTTTCGCTGCTATTCTGGCCCAGGATGCCAACATGGACTCCTGAGCTGAAGACACCACTTCAACTACATTGGCTTCCTCCTCTTTCTTGCGCCTATCCAAAGGGTTCACACGCCTTTTCCTACCAGTCTTGCCTTTCTTGAAATTTAGCTGCACTTTAGTCTCTTCTAGTGTTCCAGGGATGTCCTGTAGAGGAAAATCAGGAGAAGTGCAATTTCCATAGACTTCCGTGTCTGCTTTACCATTCTTTACATGAACATCAGGAAAGGATTTAAAAGTAGTACTTTCTCAGTGTGCTGGTTTCTCAGGTGGGAGAAAAATGGGGTGTTATAACCCTGGGATGTAGCTCAGTGTAAAGACCCTGGCTTTGATCCCCAGCACCACCAAAAACTAAATTTTTAAAACGAAAGAAGGAAGAGAGCCCCTGCCTCAGAGCCCAACACACATGGAAACGTTAGCCAAGCAGAGCAGGACACCCCAATGTGAGCCACCTCCACAGGGTCACCCTTAAAACTCACACACTGCTGCTGGGGGTACGCGTGCCTCTGGAGCCTCAGGTAGACTTCTATTTTCTAAGGAGATTGAAAGGGCGAAAGGAGTTACAAGTTGACAAAGGTCTCCCATTTTTGCCCCAAACAGCTCCTCACTGGCACTCACCTGGCCGTCGGTACTCAGGTTAAACTGCTGGCACCAGCTCCGCAAGGTGTCCCGGGTCACCTGGTTTACCGGGGGCAAAGTGGTCGGCAAGGGAGGTGCTGGTGCTCTATACTTAGGTTTGGGGCACGCTTTGAGCTCTTCATTCATTTGGGGAAGGTGGACTGAGAAAAGAATGGAGCCAAAGCAGTAGTCATTTAACATTTGTAGGATTCCTTTATAGTTTTGCAAAGATTTTCTCACACTTCTCACAAACTGGTCTGCACATATATCCTATTACAAATGTGGTAACAGATTCAGGAATTAGAAGACTGTCCAAGATAACATAGCTCCTAAAAAGGCAGACTTGGGACTTAAACCAAACAGATTCTAAATTCCATGTTTTTTATATTACACACACCGGCTTGTTTTTTTGTAAATCTTGGCAACTACTTAGAGCATTACACTGTATTTCTCCTCCAAAGTGGCTAAATCTTGAACCAGAAATATCAGCTGTTCCTACAAAAATCCAAGTTACCATCCCTAAACCTACCCCAAGCCAACAATGCTCTACCATTGAGTAGCTCAGTGCATCTACCTCACTCTGCTCCACTCATCATTATTTACTTTATCTTGAAGTCTATCATCAGCCAGAAAATGAAATGTATCTGACGTCTTTCTATGAAGTACTGAGGATACAAAGTCCTGCACCACGATTTAAGGTCTGCTAGATATTTTATCAGTGATTATTCACCAAACAAAAACACTAGATCTTTTTTCAAAATCATTTAATCTTAACAAGAGGCAAGTATGTATTATTAACCTTCTTTCCCTCATTGCTGAGGGTCGAATGTGGGGCCCTGTGTGTGCTAGGCAAGTGCTCTATGGGAAGCTACACTCCCAGCCCATCCATCCATCAGTCGTGTTTTCATAGCAGAGACTGAGCTTCCTAGGTTGGGAATTTTGAACTGTCTGGCTGCCCCATAAAAATGTGCTCCTCCAAAGCACCCAAGGCCTATTTTGCATCTTAAAAGCGAGGCAGTGCAGTTCCGGAGACTGAGCGCTCCCACCACAAGTAACCGAGGTGAGATTTAAGGTGGGTGTTGCATAGTTAGAAGATAAATATGAAATATTTTACTTTTCCCGGGCTCCCCGAGTTGCTAACCAAGCAGTCTGTTCTCATACCTGCATTGCTGTTCCTGGAACTCATGGGTGTGATACTGTCATGTTGGAAATCTGCAGTTGATGAGATGCTGGATTCCTCATTGAATCCTTGTTCGAATTCCTCTGTTACTGGGATCAGGGTTAAAATCACATTTTCTTCATCTGCTTCCTCTTCCAAGAGATTACTCTGAAAAGAGAAGTCAGTCTCAGATTCTGGTTTGAGTCCACATAACTGCTAACTTTCAAGGCACAAAGAGTGAATAAAAACAGAGGAGATAGGGGATGGAAAAGCTCTGAGATTCTTGGAATGCAATGTGATTAGCAGAACTTTTGTTAGATAAAGGAAATAATGAGCAAACAGGCAAAAGCCACTTTACAAGTGTGTGATAAGAGAGAGAAAGAAGATAGGGTTTGAATTTGGAGGGTTTTTTCTCCTCTCCTTCCCTCTCCGTGAGCTAAAGCAAATACTTTCATGGTCTCTGAGTCCAAATCCAAGGTGTTTTTGCCACTCAGACTCCCACAAGACTCTGGGTTCAAGCTGGGGTCAAATCCACCGCACTTCTTTGTCTGCATATCCCTATAATCTGTAGGCTGTGCCCCTGTGCTTGCTGGAAACCCTTCAGTGGCTTCTCATTGCTATTCCAGTTAAAGACAAAAGTCAGAAGTCGGCTCCAGTGGTGGGCCTGGAAACTCCAGAGCAGACCAGGTCCTGGCGGGACAGAAGGCACCCATCTGGCTGGCTGTTACATTAGTAGGAATTACGCAGGCCCCAGCACGGAGTAGGCATTCAGCGGTAGGTTTGGGCTTGTTTTGTTTTTTGTTCTGTGGTGTTAGCGATGGATCCCGGGCCCTATGCGGGCTGTGCCATTGCTCTGCCCTGAGCGTTGTTTTAATGGTGAAATAAGCCAAAGGTAATGCAGAAAGCAGGTAAAGAGGAAGAACTCCCATTTGCTGGCTTTCTGTACTACACAGCCATCATGCTACATGCTAGGTGCTTTCCACATTTCTCCTACGTAGCTCTCCCAGTCTACTTGGAATAGTTTTCTGATTCTACGCAGGCAAAAACCAAGCCTCATTAAGGGAGCAAAGCCAGGGAAACCTGTCCGGGAGAGCGGTCCATAACTTAGCTCTTCCCCCAAGGTGAAAACCCCCTCCGTAGCCCATTGTAACCTGGCTCCCGAGGAGCCGCAGCCACGCCCCTCTCCCTGCCCCAATTTAAATTCAATGGCTTCCCATTACCCGCAGGCTCTTAGCTTGCAGTTAGCGATTTCTGCATTTGTATATCACTTCCCAAAACTTGTCTCTCCACTCCGGAGTGCCGGCTTAAAGTAACCCTGTGACTGCCAGTCACTATAAACCTAACCTTGGGCAGCTCCTCCTCTACCCCAGTAAGGGGTCCCTGTAAATACACTGCATTTTCTTTTCTTTACTTTTTTTTTTCTTTTTCTTTTTTGGTACCAAGGATCGAACTCAGGACCTTGCTCTTGCTAGGCAGACCTCTCGGTGCCACTGAGCTAAATCCCCAGCCCTACAATTGCATTTTCTTGGTTTTCATCTCGTCCAAACCTCATCGTGAAACTAGGCTTCAAGGACATTGGGAGCTGCTTACTTTTTATCCTTGGGGGAGAAAAAACCCTAATTAGTCACTTTATTTTCTAGCTTTACCCATATTACCCATTTATTTTCCTTTTAAATCTTAGTGCTTCATTTCTTTACCATTCTTATCTTGCCCAGTGACAGCACTTGTTTTCTTACAAAATTAAATTTTTTTTTTCACAGAGTGTGAATCAAGTAAAAGAGAAGCAGCAATGTACAAAGAGGGGGTGCCAAGATGGGGATTTCTTGTACCCAGAACTTGATTGGTAGCAAAAAAAGAAAATGTAAGAGACCCAAAAAGACTTTGAGAGCACTTGGTGAGAAAAGAAACTATTAAAAAGAAAACTTACCTTCTGGCTGACACTGTGACTTGGGTCTGACATCTTCAAGGCCGCCCAGGAAAGCCAAATGCTAAGGACATCTGCGACTTTCACCTTTTCACCTGAGGGCCTCAGACTCCTTTTATAGGCAAATTTCTCCTTCTACTTCCTGTTACCCTGGGCTGTTTTCCTTCCCCCTCTACTTCCCCTCCCTCAGTATTTGACAATGTATGGTTTTATCGGTTTTATGAGCTGCTCTCTCTACCAGGTGACATTTGAATTCTAAGTAATTCATATTATTCCAAATGCCTTTTTAAAAAAAAAAAAAACAACAACAGATTATTCTCTTCATTCCTTTAGGGGTGAGATTTGGGAGAATATTTGGAATAACAAAATCTTGCTGACAAATTCCAAGATCTGATTGAGCAAATGGAGTATTTTCAGAGTAGTGCTAGGTGAGAGACTCAAGGAATTATGAACAGGAAAGACACTGAAGCTGGGTGTGGTGGCTCACACCTGTAATCCCAGTAGTTGGGAGGTTGAGGCAGGAGGATTGATGTGAGTTCCAGGCCACAGTGAATTCAAGGCCAGCTTGGATTACAAAGTGAAATCTTATCTCAAAAAAAAAAAAAAAAGACATTCAGAAGATTTTAGGGAGGTTTTGTTTTGTTTTGTTTACATTTTGTGTTTTTTTGAGACAGGGTCTCCCTTGGTAGTTTAGGCCAGCCTTGAACTCACTGTGTAGCCCAGGCTAGCCTGGAGCTCACAGCAATCCTCTTGCCTCAGCCTCCCAACTACTGAGATTACAGGTGTGCCCCACCTCGCCCAGCTGTCATTGTTTTTGTTTTTTCCGATACTGGGGATCAAACTCAGGACTTTGTGCTTGAGAGGCAGGCACAGTACCAGTGAGCTAAATCCTCGGCCCCTGTCATGATATTTTATAACTGATTTATGGTCAAAGGTAGGGCACTCACCCACTCACTAGATTTACATTGTGGAGGACATGTCTTAGTAGGCTGGGAGTGGTGGCACACACCTGTAATCTCAGCACTTGGGAGGCTGAAGCAGGAGAACTGCTGTGAGTTTGAGGCCAGCCTGGGCTGCATAGTAAGTTCAAGGCCAGCCTGGACTACATAGCAATCTTGTTTTTAAAAAGAAAAATGTCATGGGCCAGGGATTTAGCTCAATGGTTTCTCCACCTGCTACACAAGCGCAAGGACCCGAGTTTGATCCCTGGTACCAAAAAACAAACAAAACAAAACAAAACAAATGTCTTGCAGGCCAGAGATTTAGCTCAGTGGCACTGCACCTGCCTTAGAAGCACAAGGTCCTCAGTTCGATCCCTGGTACTTGGAAAAAAAAGTCTCTTACATCTAGTTTTTTGGGCTTCTTGGTACTGGGAATCGAACTGGGGTCCTTGTGCTTACGCAGCAGGCGGCAAAACCACTGAGCTAAATCCTTAGCCCCTAGATCTGCTTTTAAACACAAATATTTAGCCAGTAATAATATTGGGGGGGAGCTGGTGCCACACCTGCTTCGCCAAGCACAGGGTCCTGAGTTCGATCTCCGGTACCAAAAAAAAAATATTGAGAGGGAGGAGAGGCTTGGTTACTATAACGGGAACAGCAAAGGCCAAACACTAAGTCCAGGGATAGAAAAAGGGCTGCACATGTTTGGGAACTGCTGGAGCACAATGCTGGAAGGTGAAGCCTCCAACAGCTGGTGAAGGCGATGGATTCCTAGATCACTCAGAGGAGCCAGAGCTTCTTTAGTGCCATTTGCCCACAATGCTGCAGAATGGAGATCCGGGCCCTTGAATGGACTTTCTCTGCATCTAGGAGAATACTCTATAGCCTCAGCCAGGGGGCCTAAGGTCAGTTTAATTTAGCAATGGGACATATACAGTGTAGTCTGCAAGGGCTTTCAGTCTATAGAGGAACTGCATGGAAATCTGAAGTAGGAGGCCTGCCCTAGACTTCTAAATGGTGCCTTTAGGGCTGGCTCCAGGAATCTGTATTCAGCAAGTTCTCCAGGTCATTCTTATGCTCCTGCACTCTGGAAGTATTGGCAGGGATCTGGATTTCTCCAAATGGCTTTGGAGATAGATAATGGTAGATAATGGCTCCTAATGACCTAAAGTCCTGGCTCTTCCCTTGCAGGATGGCCCAAGGAGACTCAGTCAAGAAAGCACAGGGATCAGCTACCCACCCGGTGTGGCCCTGCTGCTTTTGGGGGGTGGTGGTGTAGAGAAGCTAACTTGCTAGCCCAGGACCGGGAAACTAGTGCCTGGGCTGAGACTGCATGTCTACTGGGAAGATGATGTCATTACTGTATTTTCTTTCTTTAGAGCCTTTGTCACAATATAAGTTATCTTGTTCTCTTTCCTGAGTTTTCTCTCTCTCCCTCTTTCTATGGGGGAGGGGGGAGTGAACCTAGAATTACATACCTAGCCCTTATTTTTTCCATTTAATTTTTGTTTGTTTGTTTTGTTTGTTGTTTTTGAGACAGGGCCTCACTATGTAGCCCAGGCTGGCCTTGAATTCCCATTGATCCTCTGGCGGAGTGCTGGGATCACAGGTGTGTGCCACCATGCCTGGCTTGAACTCTGATTTCTGCTATGATATATCTCCCATTCCAAAAGCGGAGTTACCAGTAGGTGTATAGATCCCCGCTGTGCTTTGGAGACTCCAGAAATGATTCCTGTGTGAGTTTATAAAACCAGAGGGCCTCCCTGAGCAGACTGGGGAGAGGATTCCAGTTATTACCAGGCCTCTAAACTTTACTCTAAGGACCAGAGGCCGTGATCATCTGGGTTTCAGGGTCAGTACCGATTCTCACAATGTCTTCTTTCTCTTCTGAGTAATGCTCAGTGAAGTGGTGAATGGCTTGGGTCCCTTGAGGAAGGACGAGGGCAGTCACTACAGGAAACAGGTTGGTGGCAGCTCCTGTCCTTCCTCTCAGGGATCTTGTTACAGGGGTGAGTCACTGATCTGACACTGAAGCAGGTCTGGGAGCTGAGGGAGGGATCATGACTTCTTCCAAGGTGACCTCCCTCAGCTCCTCCTGCTCCATCCCTGACTTGTCCCGACTGCAGATGTTCAAGACGTCCTCCTTGGCTGCCCATGCACTGTGCCCCCGGGATGCCACCCTCTATAAACCCCCTTCACGGCCCCTGCAGCTGAAGCCCTTTGGCTGCCCTCCAGTCTCCCTGGGATTTCAGCCTGCTGGCTCCTAATGACCAAATGCTGTCACCAGGCTTTATACTCAGGGTCTACTGTCCCCAGAATGACGTTAATGCCCAGCTCCACAACTGCCTTGCCCCCACCCGCCCTGTCTGCAGAGGACCCTGAGCCAGCACCACCACTGGCCTCACTGAGCCCCAGGGATGCTCCTCTGGGGCAGTGTGGGACTGCCTGGGACACAGCCGTTCCAGCAGGCCTGTCTTCTTCAGCCTCTTTACTTTCTTCTCTGCCCTCTGCAGTGACAACGTGGGTATTTCTGCTTGGCTCAGTACTGGCTGTCGTCTTCTCCAGGCCCCTAAGAATCATCCTAGCAGGGAATCTGTGCCCTCTCTGGGATCCTTGATAGATGCTCCATCCGGTGCCAGAAGACAGTGCCCAAAGGCAGTGAATTCTTAATTCGCCATTGTATTCCAGCACCTTGGGTCAACTGTGCTCGAAACCTGTTGAGATTAGACTCTTGTGCCTGCCAGCACTGGGAGCTAGT